CGAGTTGGTAAATTACTTATAAGTAGCACTCAATGGCATTAGATTCAACTCTCACAAGAATTTAATTTCCTGGAACATCCGATTGATCTGCTCAACAACAGAGCATAAAAACTCTGCAGAGCGCAAAACCCATCCTTTTCTTCAAAAGACACAAAAATGACATCATCCTCCAATTGACAACGAAAGGAAACTGAATCCTCTATGGCCCCTGCTGCCTTTGAGATTTAACATTCGGCGTGCAAGCTTCAGTTTAAGATTCCCTTTCCCGATGCCACCTAATCCGTAATATAGCTTTAGAATGTCACGAGCAACAACCATGTCCCCAAAGCGAACGATCGAGATATAGATGAGTAACTGGAACTCACTGCATCAGCAAGCCAATGCAATGAATCAACATAAAAGATACAGGAGATTTCCATACTCTGCTTTGGGAGAGAAAACACCATGTTCTCTGCTCACTTGGATCTTGAAATTAAAATAGAGGGAACTACAGATGAGGGGAAAAAAATTAGATGGGGAGCCATTTTTCATTGATAGTGAAGAACCTTGGTGTTATTAAAACAGTGTGTGTTCCCGTCAGTGCCCTTCGCACTTCATAGCAAGCCAAAGAACCCGTGAACCAAAAAGTAGGATACTCTGCTGAGCTTCACTTTTCTTATTGTAACCATGTGAACTGTACACAACAAGCTCTCTTTTGATCCCATGAACAAAGTTGTAACCATGTGAACTTATCATACCATAGAAAATGGAATTGTGGAGTTAAATTTGATTCATTCACCGTGAACGAGCTCACTATATGGAGCTGCATGTAGTTGAGAATTCTAAGTTACAGTAGCTAACTGAGGTAATTGCTAGGACTTGTTGATTTGAGTCAACAACTCCTATCAAATAGGAGATCTGAGTCTGATACCGTCAACAGTTTCCACACTTCAGAGCGAAGCAATTTGTTTGTTTCGATTGACAATGGAAAGCATGGGAAGTCATGTGAGACGGTAACAACATATTTTGTAATTACGGTGGCCTTGATCGTTAAACTTTCATCGTCTGTGAAGAAAATGATGAGTTCTATAATTGAACAATGGAGACATCTCTAATTCATGTACCTCTCTTTCAAGCTTTGGGCGGAAAAGTTGTGTTGGGAATGAAGATCAAAGAAAACCTTCAATCACTTCGGCAATTCTATAATCCTTTTAAGATGTATAACGTGAATCAGACCAGCAGAACTTATTCTTAAGATTATCTCACCAACTTAATCACTAATCATCTCGTCGTGGTGGTTTCAGGAGTCATTCATCATCAAACTAGCGGCAAAAAAAATCCTAATATTCAAGGAACATCTCAATTGTGTAGGGTTACCACTGCCAAATGTGTAAGATCTACTAAGTTTCTATACATTTCAACAAGCTCAAATTTTCTTCTCTCCCGTTGATTCTTTACAATATCCAGGAAAAAATCATTTTGGACCTCCGAGCTACCTCGAGATGCTGGTTACGAAATGGACGATTTCAAATTTCAGAAACATAACGGTTGAAAATGAATGCCCAAAGGCGTTTGTATGAGATTTGGGGGTAATGGACTTATTTAGGACACAAAGCACAATCTAGATCATTTGAATATCACTAGGAAGAACCTAAGGATGAGAATAGAGGAGCATGCAAATTACATAGGTATGAACTATAAATATTTTTCAATGGTCTCCTCAAGTCCAATCCTTTGATCGCAAACTTCGAACAAATTCCTACACATACCCAAAATAGAAAGAAACAGCAATTCTTTATATAACACAACAAAACATGGGATACAATCAATCAAGAGTTAACAAACATAAATCCCATAAATATCACATCGTGAAGCAAAACCGTCACAAGCAAAACATATAGGCTTTTCGAGCGTATCTATGTTACCTCATTATGATTCATACAAATCCCTTTCCTAAACAATTCAAGCAGCGTTGTACCCTGCAAAAAAAATTGAACCCTTCAAATTTAGAATCAAAGAATTGGGTAACACAAAAACCCTAACACAAAACACAAAACACAAAAACAAATTAAATTAAAAAAAAGGGTTAATTGCCTATTAGTCCCCCTCAAATCTCATTATTTGCTTGTTAGTCCCTTGAATCTTCAGTTTTCTTGCAATATGATCCTTTTGTTAGAAAAGCTGTTAACTCCTCTAAACTCTAGTTGAGTAAAAATCTTAAACCTAACAACTCAAGTTACCTTATTGCTCCTGGGTTATACATTGCCCTTGCAAGTTTTGGGTTTAGAGGGAGGCTAGCCGTGGGAATGACCATGCTTTTGGGTTTTGGTGAAGAAAGAAGGTGAATTTTAGTTGGTATAGGTGGGGTTACAATGTTGTGCGCGGCACAAATGCAGTGTCCCAAACTGCCATGAGTTCGGCACAAATGCAGAAATAGGTCCCTCTTGTACCTCCCGCTAAAATCAGAATGAAGTACCTTCACCTTCTGCCAATGCACTTCTTCAACTGTTGTTGACTACCATGACTTCAAAACCAACGTGACTTGGTTACAACCTATAAATGCCTAGTACAATCCCTAACATAGGAAACCAAAATACCAATTTACCTTCCAATGATGCCTCCTTGGAAGGCCCCTAAATGTCTGAATGAACACCAAATAGAAGACCCCTCAATTATCAAATAGAAGTGCCAAACTCCACATCGGTCTCCTTGCTCATACCAACGTGCTCAAAGGACTTCAATATGCAGGTCAAGGGTACTTCTCAATAATCCAATGCACCGTATCAATAAACAAATAACCCAGCCTCAAATCATTCTATCTCGGCCAACTATCTCAAAGCACCAACAAATGAAGAATAGATCCAAACTGATAAAGGAGAGAATTTTACCTCCAATTGAAACTCTAACAAGAGTCTCCAAATAATCTCACCCCGCACGACGGCAACGAGATCCACAAATAGAAAAAATCTCACATTTATCTCCAAACGAAGCCCTCGAAGAGCCTCCAAAACGATCTACTCCTCCAAATAGCCCAAGTGCCAACAAACCAATGCGGAACAAACGAAGAATAGATCCAAACTGAAAAAGATAGTCTTTAACAAAAAGATCCCACATTTCTCATCAAACGAAGCTCTAGCCGAACTTCCAAATTGATCTACTCCTCCAACCAAGACAAAACCCTAGATCTAGAATCTGAAGCTCTGATACCAATTGTTGTGCTCTGATATCAATTATTATGCGCGGCGCGAAAGCGGAACAACCAAACGGGCGTGCTTCGAGATCCAAATCAAACAAACGTCGAGATAAAGGCCAAACAAATCAAAACAACGGCACAAATCCAAACACAAGAGTTTCACGTGATTCGAAAAATTGCCTACATCCACAGGGCAAGAAGGGGATTGGGTTTTCACTAATAGAGAAGAAGAGTACAAACTGAGATTACAAAACGCTCAAACCAATCAACTAATCTCACCAACAAATCTCTTAATCTTTCCAAATAAACCCTCAAATAATTGCTCAGAAAAACTCTCCTTTTTCTGCGCTCCAATATCCCCAAACCAATCTCCAATCCAAGCCAAAGAAATCCTAATTCGTATGTTGGTATTTATAGCAAACACCAAACCTAAACTGAACAGGAAACTCAAACTAGGCATTGACCCGATTGGCGGTCGACAGCCCAAAGCTCGCGGTCGATCGCGATTCAGCGACAGAGACCAAAAAATCCTATAGGGTCTCGCGGTCGACCGCGGTGGTCGACCGCGCCAAATCCAGACTCTTATTCTGGCTTGTGCACGTTAGCGGTCGACCGGCCTTGTGCCGCGGTCGACCACGTAGCATCCAAAACGACTCATGCGCCTCCAAACCTGTTCTGATCCAAAATTTCTCGCCGATTCTACAATGGGTATTCTACCTAATTACGTCACATTGAAGGACGGATTGGCAAGAAACTGAAGATTAAGGGACTGATAATCAAATAATGAGCTTTGAGGGACTATTTGGCAGTCAAAGATGATTTGAGGGACCAATATGCAATTAAAAAAGAAAGACTAACCTATTACCATCACAGGTTGGGCAAAGGCAAGGGTTAATAGCAACAGGATCATACAAAGGAGACCAGCCAATAGTAGAATCCCCCCTACAGAGCTTGCAACTGTAGAACCCTTTCCCTTTGCAGGCTTTACAAGGGGGAGCAACCTTTCTCTACAACACCCCCCCAGACAAAAAAAAATTTGCACAATCAGGACGGTGGGAAAATGAATTTTGCAAATCGATAGAAGGATTGAAAACCTACCCTCTTCGATTCTGAAGCGGATTGGGCTGCTCGGATGGCGACCGAGGAAGCGAGAGAGAGGGGGAAG